TGCGAAAAAACCCTTCGAGTGTTTCATGTAAAAACATACGAAAAATCAATCGCTTATTGAATCTACTACATCAGTTGTGAAGATATATCCAAAAAGACATAGAATCTGCAAAAAATATTCGAAAACACAAAGAAATTGTGAATTTTAAGGCATTTAGAAATGTCATGTAGTCGAAGTTTCAACCCTTTAGTTTAATTCTCCCTTCTTTCGCCGCCTTCGTCTTTTCGCGCCCGTGTTCTTACTTGTCAGCGATCATTTATACTTCATGTAGAGTGATAGTATAATGATTCAAGCAGTTTAAAATGTTTAGAATTTCGAGAGAAGAAATAATCGATTATCAAGGGATTCAAGTAGGTTTTTAACAATAAATACAATATTATTTCAATCATAACTCATAGTGGGGCCCCCTGTGGTATCAATCGCTATTGTTAATGTTTATGGAAAATGGCAATTGTTTTCATATAAGCTTGATCAGCCATGTTTTTCGATTTGTTTACTAATTTTTAAAGCATGCGCCAAATTCAAACATTTGTATTAGTGATGGGCGATACCAGCTTTTTTGGTTTCGATACGATACCAGTCCGATACCATGAATTTTGGTTGATACCGATACCAAAATCGATACCGATACTCAATTTTTTCCATTTATTAAAATAACTTTTAAAACACGAACATTAATGTTTAAAACAAGTCAAAGAATACTCTAACTGGACTACCTGCCAAATAATCAAACATAACATTTGCAATTATGATTTTAAATCAAAACAACAATGTTTTCCTCAAATATATTGCTAATTAGCTACATGTTTTTGTTTAAGAACAGCATCATGTCAACATTTTTTGCTTCAGTCTGTTGCTTTCATGAAGCATTAAGTGATTGGTCAGGAATACTGACCAAAAACATCGCAGGCTCAAGTGGTATCGAATTACCGATACTTTTTGCGAGTATTGAAAGTATCGATACTTTTGTAAGTATCGATGATTTCGATACTTTTTCGATAGTATCGCCCATCACTAATTTGTATCTTACATAATATTAAATGAAATTTTTAGGGCTGTATATCAAAATTTTTTCTCCAAAGTTTTTTCTGAATACAATAAAATTTGAGTGTAGTTTTTACCATACACAAAATGAAACAGCACAAGTTTTGACACCCGGTAGCATTTCAGGTGTTTCAAGAACAACCTTATATTGTTCTATATTCAGTAGCTGGCAGTAAACCTCTCCAGTAAACTTACAAGATGATATATGCCACGATTGTGACATCTACCTGTAATATAAATCTATTAGGGACATTATTAACTAAACTAATACACTGTGCAATTTCAGATACACTTAAGCTATTTGCATCATAGCTTTTTCTCCTTTTGATGAACATTCGAATCCAATCTTTAAGCACCTTCGACTCATAAAGTTAACTGATCTGATCACATTATTAATGACAATAATGTTCATGTATATATTTCATAATTCCCTTCTGCAGACCTGCCAACCTCAGAGTGGCAGAAATCATGAGTTGTATTTTACAAAGTTGTGAGATTCTGTGAAAAACTGTGAGATTTCAAAAACCTCCAAGGTTGTCTTATTATTATGGATTAAATGTATCAAAAAGTCAGTTCTCTATTTAGCTAGTCGAATTTTAATAGTCGAAATATGTCTCTGCTGCACATACTCCTCATACGTACTGTGTTTAATATTGGAAATCTTTGAACAAAACTTCAGTTTCATGATCATTTCATTGGAAACTGAGCGCAATGTTTCAACATGAGTTGCATTAATTTCCTCAAAAATCGTGAGATTTAAAGACTTTGTCGTGAGACCGTGAGAAAGCATAAAAAATTGTGAGTCTCGCGACAAAACCGTGAGAGTTGGCAGGTCTGCTTCTGCCTTTAAATTTCAATGTGCATCAATTTCATTCATATAATACAAGACTTTGTCAAGACTTTGTTTATCATTATCATTACCTAAACCCGGGAGAAATTTTGGCTTATTTAACATTAGATATCAGGGTGTCAAGGTGTGGAATGCACTCGGGGATTTTGACAAAAGTTTGCCATTTACTCAGCTCAAGCAGAAATTTAAAGCTAATTTTATTGATTTATATTAACAGGTTTTTAAAAATTACAAACATTTCCTGCAAGTTAGCAAATATATTGTGTTTTTTCAACATTTTGCAAATTTCAAAACCTTTTTGACACCCAAAAACCGTCTAAAAACGTCTAAAACTCGCAGATTCTACGGGGGTCCAGGGGCATGCTCCCCCAGACAATTTTTAATTTTAGAAGTCTGCAATGGCGATTTCACGGCAAAATACTCCAAAGAGAACATTAAAAAATTGTGTGATTTAGTGAAAATCGTATTTCCATATTTATCCTAGTTCACTATATATTTTTCAACTTAAAAATTTAGCTAAATATAGTCAAGTCATGTAAGTGGAAAATATCATGTTTTCAACACACGTCTGTAATATGATCTTTCACTTGGTCAACATGCAATTGCATAATTCAACAATTGTTGTAGTGCCTGTTGAATATACAACACTATATATACGGCTAGCATTCGTTAAAAAATTACTAATTTGTTAATAAACTCTAAATAACTCTGATTGTATAATTCAGTACGCTATGGCTTTGGTATTTAATAATAAAATTGCCGTAGCGTTTGAAGTAAATATAGTGTAAAATGTGGCTAATTATCTACATAAATAACATGGAAAGGTTAAGCAAGGCAAATAATATGTTCATACTTTATATCAATACGACACAAAATACACAATTGATTCTGTTGACATGCATTTCGTGAGCTAAAATATCTTAGCAGAAGCCAGAAATTATATCCAAATCACAATGGGCTTCCACGCTGGTTGATTTCCATATTCATCACTTGAGTAATCTTGACAGAGTTAGTAAAAAGTGGGTTTAATCACGTGGAAAGCTTGCAAGAAAAGACAATACAAGGCCAAGTCCTGTCATTTCGAGAGAGCAGGACTTCGCATTTGTAAACAGCCGGTTTGAGCATGCGCAGACCTAATTATCCAATCAGAAATCAAGATTTCTTGTATGAATTTACTATGAAATATACTAGCAAGTCCTGCCATTTGAAAATGGCAGGACTGAAACACGAGCGCATGTAAATCAATATATTGCCCGGAAATGAGCATTTGTAGAGTTGCAGTTGCTAGGTAACAGACACTGCAAGCTGTAAAATTGTGTAAATGTAATAGAATACGGAAAACGTTTAAAAAATAATAACGAAAAAGACGAGGACATGATACAAAATAACAATATGATAATAAATTTTTAAAGCTTCAAGATAAATAAAGTAATGTTTTAGTAAGGAAATTTGGGAAAATTTTTAGTCCTGCTGGGCAGGATAAGCAGGACCGCTAGCTATGCCACTGGTTTCATTCGTAGAAGCTGGTGTGACAGCGCAAATGATCAACCTTTTCTTTTTCTCGTTTGACCACCGAGCAATTGGAATTTTTTTATATTGGGGATCACCTTTTTGAGAATCAGATTGGAAATGACCTGCAACTTATATTTACATTTGTTCGAGGAGATTTGCGTAAAAGCCGAATATAAAACAAATCCTTGGAAATGAATATTCATCGATTGTCAAATTATATATTTTGTTCTACATGACTAAATGCAGTTTACATCATGCTTACATAATTACATATTAAGCCAAGACCATACTATAACAATTGCGATATACCCCGCTAACCTTTCCTATGGGAGGAAACCAGAGTGCCCAGAGAAAACCCGATGGAAGTGTTTTATTATATAGCAGTTGTCAAAGTCTCAATAATTCACCTGGTATGCCGAAACTGTAATAAAACCTGCTAAAAACAAGCTGAAAAAACTTTGCTTTAAAATTGGTTGACACAAAAAACTTGCGCCTACTTCCGGTTTTATTCATTATTGACCGATCATTAATTAGTAAGTAAGTAAGTAAATGAACTTTATTTAACCACGGTAGACTCATCAGGATTTACAATAAAATAGACAAGGGACATTACAAATAACAAAATATGGAAATAGATTATTAATACCTGTTTTACATGAGTGCCGTGCATTATTAAAATAATGTAGATAGGAGTAAAAATATTACAATTATTGGATGAAGTTGCTGCAATCAGCCTTGAATTTACGTAAAGAGCTAGCCTGCCGTAATTCTGTAGGAAGGTCTGGAAGAGAATTCCACAGTACCGCACCACTGTAACTAAAACTATTTTTCAAATAGTTTGTATGTGGTTGTGGTATCACAAGTTTGCCAGTGGTGTCTCTCAACTTATAATTTGTAATGTTACTGCGATCAACAAACATTTCGGAGAGGTAATCTGGTGCAAGGCCATTCACAGATTTATATACCATGATAGCTTTGGCAATCTTATGCTGAGATGCAAGATTTTTCCAACCAAGTATTTCAAACAGATAATCGGCATTTGTATCATAACTGGATGACGTCAGTACTCTTGCTGCACGGTTTTGTAGTTTTTGTAGTTTATCCGCACAAGTACTCCTGCAACTATGCCAGATAACTGAGCAGTAGTCGAAATATGACTGGACTAGACAATTGTAAATCAGTTGCATTGTGGAAGCACCTATGCCACTAGCAACTTTTTTACACAATTTTTCAATGTGAACATTCCAGGACAACTTCTCCTCGATATGTGTGCCCAGTGACTTTGTGTGAGAGACTTGCCTAACTGGAACGTTATTAGTATAGGTAATCACACAGGAAGGAGTGCAATTAATGATTAACACTACGAGTGATATTTGAAAAATGTGCCAATATATTTATATTATATTTATATTATATCTTTATATTTCAAGAGTTTTTAATTCTTTTGTAAGCAATTTGGTATAAACAAACTTGGGAAATAATTATAAACTCATAAAGGCACACAACTTAAACAAGAACACAAGATTCAAAGTCAAATAATATATTTTAGACTAAGAAAATCTTTATAAATTGTATTTCAAACTTACATAGTCACGTTTCGCTGCATCCTGCCAAGATTATTTCTTAAGACTCTTTCCAGGTATTTTTCACAGGCTCTTTTTGCCATACAATGTTTCTTAAACTCATTCTTGTGCCAAAATTCAGTTAAATTCGTCCACATTTGTTAGAAATACTTATCTAAATTTCGCCGCCATATTGGATTTTGTTGTTTTGATTTCCCGCTCCCCCCAGCCATCACGAAAATCATTAATTGCACTCCTTGAGAGTGCAATTAATGAAATAATTGCACTCCTCTTAACCAATCAGATTGCAGTAATTTTGTCATGTATATAATAGATTGCTAAAAAAGGAGTTGCATGAAAAGTATTCATCCTTTGATGGGAGCCAATCAACATGAATTCAGTTTTAGTTTGATTTAAAGTAAGCCTATTTGCTGATAAACATTCACTGACATGGGCAAGATCTTCATTATAGTTATGATTGATATCGTAAATATTATTACTTGCATATGTCGAATTAGTGTCATCAGCAAACATACGTGCACAGGAATGTACCAGACAATTAGGCAGGTCATTGATGTAGATTAAAAATAGAAGTGGACCTAATATAGTTCCCTGGGGAACTCCACATTGAAGAAAATGACTATTCGAAGGAGTTTATTTTCAAATAGATATTTTAGGAGTTTATTTTCAGATAGATATAAATGTGACTGGTCATAAATTATCCTTTCAAAAACCTTAGCCACAACAGGGATAATGGAAATCGGATGATAATTATCAACGCAATTACGTTTCCCTTGCTTGTGAATTGGGAAAACTTTTGCGCATTTCCACTCATTGGGAAATATGCCTGTGATAATAGAACGATTAAAGATGAGACTAAGGTGTTCGGCAATTAAATCAGGGCACTCTCGAAGTAATCTAGTGGAGATTTTGTCCAAGCCAGTTGCTTTTGACCTACTTAGTTTGGACAAAAGTACAGAAACTGTTAAGGAATTTGCTTCTTTCAATTGAAACGTCGTATTAGTATTTAGACCAGATAAATATTCGTGATAGGACCGGTTGCCTTCATTGAAGTCTATGTTATCTGCAAGTTTGAGGCCGATGTTAGAAAAATATTCATTAAATGCATCAGCAATTTTATTAGAATCATTAATTAAGTGACCGTTCAAATTAATTTCGGTAATTTGAGCACTTTTTCGATTCTTAGATGTAAGTTCGTTGATAATATTCCAAGTCTTTTTAGAGTTTCCTTTATTTTCACAGAAAGCATTTTTGAAATAAGTTTCTTTAGCACAAATGATTTTGTGATTAACTGAATTACGCATTTTCTTAAATGAAGACCAATGCTGAGGGTTGTTGGAATGAATCGCTTTGATTTTTTGAATATCTCTTTTGTGCATTTCGTCCTTCAGGTGATACGTAATCCAAGGCAATTTAGAAGCATTGACACGTTTTGTACAAAGTGGGGCATGTTTATCAAGAAGACAATTGAATGTAGTTTTTCCAAGCATGCCACATATCATTAGGATTTTCGGGTTCTGTAATATGGCTCCAATTTTGTAGACTAATATCATTACGAAATTTGATGGAGTCGAAGTTTTTAAACTTTCTCTAGTTTACCGTTGAATGACCCCTTGTTGGCAGACTAACAGAAAGCTTTCGAAAAGCATAAATGAGACTGTGATCGCTTATACTAACATGAGAGACACCAGAGCAAACTACTTTATCGGGAGTATTTATAAAGATATGATCTATCAACGTAGAGGAGGAATCTGTGGTTCGAGTGGGCACATTTATCAGCGGAGGAAAGATTGTATAGTTCAGCAATATCAATGAGCAGCCTTGAACTATGATCTAGGACAGTAGAGCTGAGATCACAATTCAGGTCACCCATTAGATAGTACTCAATATTTTCAGCATCAAGTATAAAAGATGTAATTTCTACTTCTGACAAACCCTGCTTGGTAGCTTCATGGTTACAAGACTCATCTAGCCCGAGCACATTTTCGACATTATTATTGTTACTGATATTGCAGCAAGAGATATTACTTACTTGCAAGAACTAGACTAAAACATATTCTATTAAACTAGACCCCCTTCTACAGGAGCCGATATAATCAATAAAGGCTGAAAAAACTGCGTTTTTGTTTACGCGAAGTGTTTTTATGAGTTATCCAGCCATTGAGTTTTTGTTTTTGTTTATGCAGAATGTTTTTATGAGTCATCCAGCCATTGTGTTTTTGTTTACGCGGAATGTTTTTATGAGTCATCCAGCCATTGTGTTTTTGTTTACGTGGAATGTTTTTATGAGTTATCCAGCCATTGTGTTTTTGTTTACGCGGAATGCTGGAAGACTGCGAGTATAAAGGCGGTAGTCACTTGGCGGGTTAAAAAGGCGAGTTTTCAACTTAGCTTTGTTTAAATAAAAAGGAAATTCCAAAGTCCTCGGATCCCCGAAATGTTTTTGTTTTCGTTCTGAGTCTGGGAAAATAGTTTTGTGATTTATATCGTCATCTTCTCTTTTTAGTTTATAGCTTTTTTTGTTTTTGACTTTTACGTACAGATCTCAGTAATCTTGATGACAACATTTTTTTGAACGACAGCAAACAACAACTGCCTTGTTCTCAGCAAGTGATATATTAAAACAAAACTAGTCTTAATTTTTATTTTAACTTTAGTTTAATTTAAATAACAGCAAATATTTACATTTATAATAAATATAATCTCATGTTTCGCACAACTTCCTGCGTGGGCGACTGCGCTTCACCGCTTGTTGCTAGGCTGTTTGAAAATCACTTTTAATATTATTTTTCATTAATATAATGCCTCATAGAGACTCAAAAAGTATCGTGAACTGATTTATACAACTTTGTATATCCCCGGGCGTTCTCACGCGCTCCCGGGCGTCCCCGGGCGCTCCGGGCAGTATTTAGTAGGACCGATTGTACAGTCTTAAATTTATCTACATGTGTAACCTATAATTATATATTTACTAATAAATACATTTAATATTCTGATCTAGTATTTCATCGTATTAAATTATTACAGAGGTACAGTTGCAGCAACTTGATGTTGCAGGAAGAGGAAATAGTTTTATGCAAGAAATAAAACTCACTTGGTGGCAGTTATGTAACATATCTGCTTGGTAGATAATATACAGATAATTTTATCTGTAGGGAAACTATACTGTCACATAACTGTGACAGATATATTATTGGGCCAAATTCCCATGGTGCAGATATGTGACAGATACTTTCGTACATATATTTTGCAGATATTTTTCAGAACTGTGACATATATCTGCCACATATCTGTCAGTTTAGTAAGGGTAGTTAGTAAAATATTCTGGTAAATTTTTAAGATGATGATATCGAAACATAAATAAAGCAGTTAAATAACTGTTGATTTTAAAAATATCTAGTATATGTAATTCTTTGAATATAAGCTTCAGTGTGTTCCAAGTACGACTTAAATGTCATTAGACATACAATTTTTTTCTGGATATTAATTCGGGCTTTGTATGTGCTACCCCAAATTAAATTGCCAAAAATCAGATATGGATAGACTAATGCATAATAAATTAGTTTGATAGCATTTCGATTTAAGAAATGTCTAATGTTAGCTATTATTCTGGAAACTTCAAAGAGTTTTTTGAAACATTAGTTATATGATCATTCCACCTCAGACATTCATCAATGATGATACCAACAAATGTTGTATTTTTCCAGTGCTGTAGCAAGCTCGATAATTGGGGAGAAGCTCATATTCGTATGTTTGTGTTCTGAGTTATTAATTTCTTTTGAAATCGATTGTTTTTATGGTCTGTGAACACAAATATATGAATATGAGCCCCACCCCAATTATCGAGCTTGCTAGGACACTGTTTTAACTTGTTCTACATTTATCGTTCATACTAATTTGAATAGAAGATCTAAATAAAATTATTCATACTAATTTTGTTAGAAGATCTAAATAAAATTAATTTTGTCTTTTCGATATTTAGAGACAATTTATTGACGTTTAACGATTCTGTAACTTTATTAATTTCAGTTTGTAAGATTACATTAAGCGATTTAAGACAGCTGTTGCTATAAAATATATTAGTGTCGTCAGCAATTAATATGAATGAAAGTAATTTGCTGCACTGTTCAATATCATTTGTATGAAGCAAAAATTGAGTTGAAGAATCGATCCCTGTGGAACCTCACTTCTAATCACAATTTCATTTTACCTAACTTGATCATATTTCACTATTTGTCTTCTATTTTCCAAATATGACACAAAACTGTTTTCAACCATCAAAACTAACAATGACTGCGAACACCTACAAAATGACCTGGACAACCTGCGAGTTTGGTCGTCCGAGTCTGGCCTCTCGTTCAACGACAAGAAGTGCTGAAGTGCAAAGCCCAACACATCACCACAAAATTCACGCCACTAATAACAACATACAAACTATCATCAAATTTAGAACGAATTAACAGTGAATGTGATCTTGGAGTGTGGGTCCAGAATAACCTTACCTGGAACAAACATGTTTACGATCAGTCGGCGAAAGCAAATAAGTTACTGGGCTATATCAGAAGGTCAACGTTATACATCCATAACACTGCGGTGCGACACATTCTATATTTGGCTCTGGTGCGACCTCACTTGGGGTTATGCAATGCAGATAAGGTCTCCGCAGTCAGTTGTTCTAATACAGCAAATAGAATGTACGCAGAGGCGAGCGACAAAATTTATCCTTGAACTACCTTTCACCTCAACTACAGACTACAGCGCTAGACTACTAACCCTGTCCCTACTACCCATTTGCTATTGGCATGTTAACTTGGATATGGTCCTCTTCTGCACAGTAGTAAATGGTCTGGTGAATGTTAAACCTCTCATTCCAATCATACGAACCTCGAGACCAACAAGATCTTCCACCAGTACTGCCACCAAGTTCATCATACCCAAATACAGAACAACCACCCATCAACGATCCTTCTTCAAACAAACAACCTGTGTCTGGAACATTCTAGCGGAAGAACTAAAACTGGAGACTTGTGGTCCATCAACATTCAAGTCTATTCTTTATAAATATTATATGACTTCATCAAGAACTTCTTACAATGTTGACGATATACCGCCATCAGAATACCGGTATTCCGGTATTTTTAACATTTTTTTTAAGTCAAACTTGAGGTGCTGACCGTCACGAAAAGTCAAGTTTTGACAAAATATTAATGTGGTACATACTGTTATTAGTGCAAATGTCACAAGATTCGCATTATCAAGCTATGTTAACAATTAACAGCGCTAAGCGGCAATTATTAGTAGGCCGTCGATTCGGCATCGAAGTGTTGAATCATTCAGAAAAATATTCGTTTTGTATATAAATTCAGATAGTGTTTCAGTAAGCTGCTAATAGTTATAAACATAAAAAATAGGTACGCGATGCGTACATGTATCTGCAAAAAAACTTGATTCACATTTTGTATTTTCTTGAAAGAAACTGAATAATGAAGATGACATGGGACAATTGAAATATTTCATCACTTATTATAATAGCAGATAAGATTTAAAACAGGGCTGTACACAGCGGGGAGTGCAGCAGGGCAAGTGCTACAACCCACCCCCCCACCACAAGAAAATTTAACTAACTTTATAATGTGATTATGATTGTAACAGATAATTATGCAGTCAGGAAATAAAAATTTCATGCAAACAATATTCAAAGTGTCTATACACGGCCGGCTATTTAGAAAACTGTCCCCTGTCAATTCAATCCATACTCATCAAATTTTCAAAACTTTATTGTAATCATAGGAAGCAAAAGTTATGTCACTTGTTGTTACACTTGCCAATGTTAACTGTTGAGTAACATACACAAAATATACCACTGAATAATTGAGAATGTTTTGAAGGTCGTGAGTGAAGTATATAATTAAATTCCAGTTCTGTGCATGGTTAATGATGTACCACACTGTTCGGTTTAACACGTACAGCACATTCACACAAAAACAATCGTGTTGTGGGAGATTATCGGTTTGAGTAGAAGGTATCACAAGTTTAGTTTTGTACATTGTGTGCCATTGATCAAATCCACCATATAATATCATTGTAGCTGTTAAATTATTTTCCATACTAATGAATTTAGGTAAGATTGTCTTGCAAGTTTGTTGTCCTGACAAAATTATCCAGCCAATATCCAGTACATTTATTCTTCATTCTTGTATTAATCTCTAAAGAAAAATATTTATGTTAGAAAGCAAAATGACAATGTAATGAGGCTTGGGAGGGTGAGGATTCTTTTATTTGAAAATGTTTGTAAAAATATTGTTTAATTAACTCTAATGGGTAAAACCAAAATGTATAAGTATTTTAACTGATAACATCTTCAACCTTTGCTCTAACACTACATTTGATGACAGCTTTATAGTTGGACTGTTGTTTTGAACAGAGTTTATGGAGTCAATATACAGAAATACAGGACCAGGATTTAATTCAATATCTCCTGAGAATGTTTTCACTATTTAAAATATTACAGAAGTCACAGAAGGATTGTTTTTAATACTGTATAAATCTTTTTGTGAACTATGTTGATAAATGGCTTAAAATATCCTCGAAAATATCCAATATTTTATACAGCGTAATATATTAATAAAAAAATTCCAGAGTGCATTCCATGTAAACTCTACGCCGAAGATACGGCAAGATTAACTATAGATAGTATAGTAAATATTTGCCGAACTCGTGTATTATAAAATATGTGGGACATATATTTGCACAAAGTTGGTATTTAAATATATAATATGTGGTATTTGACTACTTACCAGATGAGGATAAAATTCCATGTTGATAAATAACTTCGGAATAAAAAGACAGCCAATTCAAGATAAATTGACAAAAATATCAAGATATTTTTGAAACAATAACACGATTTATACACGAGGCCTGACAAGGCTAAAGTATGCCCGTTCGCAGGTTAGATGCGGGCACGATGTAAACAATCGATGTAAACAAATTGCTGATTGGCTTAAATTATTAAGATTGGCTTAAATTATATAAGCTCGTCGCTGAATGGCTACGTGCTAACATACGGTACGGCACGTTTGCGATAGCATATATATCTGCTTCGCAGATACAAAAACGTTGCATTTTTAAAACTAGCACATAAACAAGTTAGCATGTCAGTTAAATAAGATTAAAAACAACAAAAAGTTACCTTCTTATACTGCCCGATAAAAAAACAACAAAAAAACTTAAAAAGCCAGAAAAGGTTTTCGCTGCTTTGCAAATGCTAGTACTTCCACTTTCCAAAATCAATGTTTTCTCTTTTGTCGAAATTTTCCTCCAAAAATTTCGCCATTTTTGTAACAGCTGGGAAATTTGTTGCACATGCGCCAGATTCCATTGAAACTTGAAGATTTACCCGAAGAAATAATGAGATGTTCGTGGTTGTTGTATATTTTTGAATGCCTGTTTAATCTTTATAATTTTTTTGCTTGAGACAAAGTAAAATGTACTCTATGTTTCCAGTGTATAGAATATCTCGTTTGAACAGCAAGAGAATATTATAATCTTGACACAAACAAGAAGACATTTGACACGCTAAATCTGCAGTCATGCCTGAGGTATATTAAATGCCAATCGTCGCGAGCTTAACAGCCTTGTCAAACGCAAAACAAGTACAAATTTAGGTTCAAACAGAAAGAAGTTCAATGTTAATACAACTAACATATATTCTACACAAATAAGGCGGTTTAAAATGTTTTCAACTGGACTTTCAAAGCTTTTATCTATTGACATGATATTAATCAAACTGAAAATGCCGGCTTTTGTTGACGCTTGCAAATGCAAAATAACTTCCCGTAAACAGAGCATTTCTACACAAAACTCTCGCTTAGTCTTCTGATGCACTTGCATGTTCGGTTCTACTAGTTAAATAGGGAAAATATGCAAGAAACACTGGTAAATTATCGTTGTCAAAAAACATTTCAGTGCTGAGCCTGAGACAGTACAAGGTTCTCAACTCTCAAGGGCAAGGTCAAGTTGTCGATTTCATTACATTTTACAGTTCTTCGAATGTTTTCGAACTCTTGCTTCATACAAGAGCATTAAACGCACGCATTTCAAAGCGAAATTAGACGCAAAGGGGCAATTTTTCAACAAAATTTATTGTTAAATTCTGTTTCCTATGTGCCTTGGGAGCAAAAAAATATGATTTTAAATTTGGAGGAATCGGTAAATTTTTTTGCAATTTGGCCTGGTATTGCACCCTACCTATGTAATGACTGTGCTGTAAAAGTAATCAAATATACTATTTTGAATTTCCCTTCATTGAAAGGATCTACTATTGTGGACTAAACTAAATTTTAATCAGCATACAAGGCTGCAAACAATAGCCAAGAATTAGCTGGGTAGTTTGCAAACTTTAAAAATAATTGGACCTCAAACTTTGATCTCCAAAAGTAAACAAATAGCCAATACTGCAAACATAATCCAAGTTTTGACCACTAGGGGCAATTTTTAGATGTAAAAAAACTTGTTTAAAATACATATCAAACAAAGGCAAAACAAAATTTGGTATTAATTTTTTGGAGGAATCGTCAAGGTTTTTTTGCTATCTGCGCACGCTTTTACACACCCTCCCCCAGGATCTTCTCTATCAGAAAACAGTTTTCTGCAGAAACTATGCTTTTTTATCGGGAAAATTTTTACTTTTCTCAAAAGAATACTGTATAAACACGGAAACCTTAAATATTTAAATAATTTTCATACCTTTTTGGGTTTGCAAAATGCAAAATTTGATTCATAATCACACTTTTTAAAATATATGTGACAAAGTTGCTTCGAAATCACTATCACACAGTAGCATGTTTATTTACCCTCATCCTTGTGACTGAATAATGTTTATCTTTTTGAAAAGCTATTTGTTTTATAGCTCTTGGTTAGCAGTTTACGTTTATGTCGATTTTGGCACCCATGAGATCAACACGTTGCAGTAATCCGCGAATGAAAACTGATATTCGAAGAGCACAAAAGCCAACTCCTAGCTATGTAACTTTATCGCCTGAATTTTGAATCAATCCACAATTAAACTGCTGGCAATGTAGATGCTTTCCATACTTGAGATGTTAGTGAAATTTTTCCAATAATTTAATTTCCTTGATCGCCATCTTAAAAATGCAATATCATAAGTTGAAATTTCACTCGTGTTGTTTTTTCAAATTTTCGAATTTTTGTAAAATATCACGTGCGCCAGCAATTTCTTTGCACAGCGACAACAAATTTCCCAGCTGTTCATTTTTATATTTCCGATTAAGGCGATTTAATAAACAAGATGTCTTTGTATTGCCAAACCAAAGCCAAAGAACAAAATCATGCATCTGTGAGTATTGACTTTGCTTTCTAAACGTGATTGTAAGCAAGTTTGATTTGAAATAGCGTTTCATTTCGGTATTTTTAAATTGTCAATATCGCCAAACCGGTATCTAAACAAATACCGGTATATCGGATATATCCGGTATATCGATCCAGCCTACGATCCTCGTTCGTATAAAACAATCTGTCTAAAGTGTAATTGTGTTTGAAGTCTTACCAGGCCTTGAATTTCCCTGAAATCAATCGACGGCAATGGTGTTACAAATTGCCGTAGAACGTAACAGCTGTCTATGGCAATTTTGGCAGTTTCCACGGCATTTTTCAAATTACTGTAGTAAAACGTTAATTTTGTTACTTTGGATTTTTGACAAGCTAGAAACATGTCTACATATATCTTTAGTGGTTTTTTTTCAAAGAAAACTGAGACTAAAATAGTGATTTACACATGATTTGATCAACATCTGAATTCAAGTATCAATGAAAGTAAATTGCTGCGATAAAATTCGAGCCCTGAGTCTTACCAATCTGATCTTGTGTTTCATGTAGATATTGTGTTTTCGTTTGTTGCATGTTTCGGAAAGAGTTAGTTGTTGTCCTCAAGCAGTCTTCTTTGTTTAAATCATTTCTCTTGTTTTATATATGAGTTTAAAAGTTGGTTTAGTGTCGAAGTAGTATCTTATGACTTGCTTCTGAGGACAAGGAAACAACTTGTTCCTATATTATCATCATGTTTGTTGTTGTTAAGTGTTAACAGGGCCGCAGTAATTGGCTTGCGCTGTTGCAGATTCCCTGCCAATTGCTAATAATTAATATTTGTACAAGGGCTAAGCTATTAAATTAATTAACTCATTAAGTCTTATTGCGCCCCCATGTACCCTGGAATTGGGAACGGGGTAAGTCTCATTGCGCCCTCATGCACCCTGGGCGTCACGTCAACTTCCAGGCACAATGGTCTAGTGCGTATTTATCGGGTTGCCTAGCAACAGTCACAAGTATAAAGTGCAAAAGTCGGGCTTTCGACCGATACATCATGCAAGAAAATTGATCAAAAGTTTGCGAAAATTTTCGATTTTAAAACTCAATTTTTTTACAAAACCTGTGACAACCGCAAAGTGTCACAATATGGGACTTTGCAGCAAGTTTTAAGGATGAAAAAGAAGAGGTTTTTAAAGAGTTTTACATATAAAATATGTTGTAAAACATAAGGGAGTGTGCATATGTTTCAAGTCAAGTTCTTGTCCAAATCAAGTCGCGCGATTTTCAGCCAGAAAAACAGCAATTTCTTTTAATCTAACAGAAAAGTGAATTGGGGAATCGCAAGAAACATGAACACTAAATAATTATTTTCATTGTAATGCATGGCTGGTTCATATATTTTCGATATAGTTTGTTCTTTCTCTTTATTGACTTGAGTGAGACCCAAGGTTTTCTTCATTGAGACCCAAGGTTTTCTTGATTTATGCTTTGAAATTTTAATTTTTTTTAATGGGAAGCAAGAATTGCAAGTATTTGTTAATTTATCAAAAAACACATACTATACGCATATTGAGGATAATTTTTCCAGGAATATTGAACCAAACAATATTTCTTGAATTCTCATGAAATTTATCAATATTTTTATCAGGGACGCCAGAACTGGGGGGCAGGGGGGGCGGCTGCCCCCCTTGCCTTTTGCTAGGGGTGGCAGGGGGGCAGAAGTGCCCTTTTAGTTGTAAAATAATACGTGATAAATCACATTTCCAACGATGCTTTTTGTAGGAAAATCACGAAATTTAGGTAATTTATAGTTTATATTTATAAAAATTTTGGGAAATTTTTGGAATTTAGAAAAATATTTTGAAGAAATGGTGATTTAAGATATCCTGAAAAATTTTTGGCTTCACGGAAAATTTTTGTATGTCCGGAAAAATTTTTTGGCCCCTAAAATGGTACACTGACAGAAATTTTTTTGGCGACAGGGGGGGGAGTTCGCCAAAAAATTTTGCAGTGAAAAAAAATTTTTCAGTAAAGGTGCCCTTGGTGTGCATCCGCCCCCCTTTGCCCTATTATCGTTCCGGCGTCCCTGATTTTTATCACAAACAAATTAACACAAATTCCTATTCTCACATTTCACTTCTTCCATGAGAACAGAAAAGACAGGGAAATGATCCGAGATGTCTGTAAAGAATAAACCACTAAAAGCGTGGTTTACGAAGTTGTTGGAAAATATGTTGTCAATAAGTGCACTGGCGTATGTTGAAATTCAAAGGTTTTGTGGCATCTGACCCAAGACTTTTGAAACTAATTGTAGATAACCAATGATAACTAGATTACCAAGAATAATTAGATTACCAAGGGTAACTAAATAACCAAGAGATGTTTGGAAATTTCTTTTTCTTGGGGCACTCTTTAAGCGGATATGTTCAAATGCTGCAGGAGTCGTCGATTTGTCCATTTTAATAACCATTCTAAAAGTGTTATCTGTATTGTGTAGTGGAGCCAAGCACCGCAATGCTTCTTGAAGATCTGAGTTATTGGTCATTGTCACAAAGTTACTTTGTGATCGCAACATTCAATTTGAACTTGATTGCCAACAAGAAATATTGTCAGTGGTCTCACCCACGTATATAATGGAGAATCCATATCTCATCACTACAGTCTTTGTGCAACTGCCAACCAGACAACAACTGTCTTACATGCTCCAGAGGTACAATGACCAACTTCACTGCCTCGAGTGATCCATGCAGCCAGTACTATTGCATCTGCTGACATCACAATGCTTCAGACTTCACCAGCACTAAATGATGAACCTCCTAATCAGCCAAATGATGATCCGACCGCAATTATCGATCCTGTTGAGGGAGCCAACAACTGACTTCCGCTAAGCCTGCGGTATCATTCTTTATATGTATTTGTCTACCTTTACATGTACTATTACTTTCAGTACTATGCACTTCAATCGAAATTGGTAAATTGGTAAATATTTGAGCCAAAAGCCTCACCTAGTTTCCTTTGTCCAATGCCTTAGTAACCTTTGTCTGAAATGCAAATTATCATGCTGCTTTTATACATTCAAATGTGTTTGCTCAAAGTAAAATTAATTGCTCTATCGCTTTCACCAAGATTCTATATCTTTCATTCTTCGACTACAATTTTGTCCCCTTTGTGACTTAGTTTACTTTAAGTTATGTCTTTACCTTATTTTCGATTCTTTCCTTTAGTCGTTAACCGTTTGACCCTGAATATATTTTATTTTGTTATTCTAATATATTAAGCCCCGCTTACAACACAGCTCTGCCACGGTCAGTAAGTTTTATCTTTAAATAGATTAACAGTTTATTAACACAAGTTAACAGTTTACCCTTGTTGTTGTGTAAGTTATTGCCCTCATTTTAACAATTCAAATTTGTCCCTGCAATTCTACATATCGTTTCTCTGATGTTTACGAACACAGCCGCAGGTTGCTATATGTACTGTTCTTTCTTAACAGTTAATTGGCCCTGCATATACTATATTATACACTTTCTTTGCTCTTTATCAGCACAGGTTAACAGTTTAGTTCTGTTAACAGTTTGGTCCTGTACATATACTAAAACTGTCTGTACCAGTGTAGATAGTGTGTGAAAATGTTGTGCTGAGTGGTTATATTACTACCTTAAAAAACAAGCAGAAACTCAACGTTTCGAGCGAAGGCCCTTTGTCAAGAGTTAGTAGCAGGGTTGGGGGGGGGGGATGCATAGGCTTTTATACTAAGAGTATGAAAGCATCACATGACAAAAAATAAACCAATTAGATGGATTTAATCATAACAAAGTGTAAACAAAATATGTAAATCTCATTACAGAATATAATAATTAAAAAATATACAGGTAGCTAAGACAATTACTACAAAAAATAATCAAAACAAAACACGAGTGGGAATAAGGTAAAAGTAATAAATAGATAAATGTTGTCATGTCTGCTATAGACAGGCAAGGACAGATGGCATTAAACATAGGAAAAGCATTCATCAATACCAGAACGCTTTTCCTATGTTTAATGCATCTGTCCCTGCCTGTCTGTAGCAGACATTGACAACATTTATCTATTTATTGCTTTTACCTTATTCCCGCTTGTGTTTTGTTTTTGTTATATATATATATATATATATATATTGTTTGATGTTTTTGGCACAGGTTAACAGTTTAGTCCTGTTGCTATGTCTTGTTTCTTTGTTACAGCAAGTTAACAGTTTGGCCCTGCATATATATACTTGTTTGACGTTATCGGCACAGGTTAACAGTTCAGTCCTGTTGCTATGTCCTGTTTCTTTGTTACGGTGGGTTAACAGTTTGGCCCTGCATATATATATATACTTTCGTTTGATGTTATCGGTACTGGTTAACAGTTTAGTCCTGTTGCTGTCTTGTTTCATTGTGTTAAGGCAGGTTAACAGTTTGGCCCTGCACATACTATAATTTTTATGATACAGTTTATTTGCTGTTTGTTAGCACAGGTTAACAGTTTAGTCATGTTGCTATATCTTGTTTCTGTGTTAAGGCAGGTTAACAGTTTGGCCCTGCATATATATACTTTGTTTGATCTTATCGGCGCAGGTCAACAGTATCGTCCTGTTGCTATCTATATTTCTAGTTTATTTGACCTTTTATGTGCACGGCTTAACTATTTAGTCCTGTTCCTTTATATTGGTACGTTACCAATCTAGTCCTCCCCATATTTTGTTTCCTGCTTATAAATATTGGTTGTTCATTTACCCCTGTCATTGTCCTTTTGATTTATAACAGGCAGGTTAATAGTTACGCTCTGTATTTGCAGCATATACATTTACTTTGACATTTAATATACAATATATCCTGTTCCCCTCTGGTTTCAGTCTCACTTGTCCTTTTCTCCTGACCTGTAGGCTGATGAAATTGCTACTTTCACAGCTCGCATCAAGGCTCTTGAAGAGTCAAATCAACCATCGCTTGAGTCAATCATCCAAAAGATTCATATCCTTGCTACTAAGGACTATGTAGATTTTGACAAATATGATGCTTTAGCCCAAGCACTTACATATTGTGCCCAAGATACTCAACACAAAATTGCTGGTTTTTACAGAGCAGCCTTACAGGAAATCTGTATACATATGGGTCTCTCAACGAAAGAATTCAAAGCCTTCTTCATTGCGTTATTCGCCGATAAAGAGTACACAAAGGTTTTGGAGTCTGTTGCAAAAGTTGAGAAATCTTTATGCACAGCATCTCCTGCCAGGACCTCCAGGCCTGTCCACCTGCGCCTCGATCCTACAAGTGTGGGTATCTAGGACATTTTGCCAATTGATGCTGTTAACCTGTATTCCAAATGCTGCTTCTCACAACTACCTACCTCTGAAACCACTGCTTTAATCTCTGATTTCCGTTTGCTTCTCTGATGGAATTCAGTGGCTGTAAACAATTTAATTATACCAACAACAAACATATTTACAATTTTTAGACCTATCAATTTACTCGTGTTCATTAGTTTAAAACTCATTACCTATTCAATTGTTTGATGGCCAATTATATTGAACCAACAACCGTGTGTTTCCTTCTGTTTTATTTCCATCTTCTGCTGACAGTCCTGAAAGGGATTCTAATCGTTACTCGGATTTCTCAGGCTGTCATCTCCTGGGATTGATTCCTCCATCTTGAACCTTCTCTAGGTTCATCAGATTGCGATTCCGGACTGGCAAGCTACACTGGATTTTTACCTGTTGTCCGTATCCTTACATAACATCCAACAGGTCAATTGCGCAGGACAGTCTATTAGCCAGTCCCAGGAGATAACAGCATATAACCGGCACTTGCCCCAAACCTTCATTGAGGATGTTTTATTTGGTTCTCAAACTGCCGATGTCAGTTTCCTTGCATTTCCTGACCCCAACAGTTTTGTAGCAGGACAATTACATGAGCGTTATGATCAATGGCTCCACATCTCCTCAACACTCCACAATGACAACACACACACTGTCTTGGAGTGGCAGCCGCCTCTCTTTGCCATACTGGAAGCATGTTCAAGCGCTCTTTGGGGGTCCCCATGGTCATTCTGTTGATCTCATGGCTTTACCGTCAAATGTTCAACTCACACCCATGTCCTCACTAAAGGAGCGGGGGAGATCACTGACAATAATGTACTATACCACCAACAAAACGTTTGATATCGTTTCTGAATTAATCAAATGACATCTGATAGAATTCTTCATTACTGTTATAATTTTTAATCTTAACAGTTTTCACTGTAACACAACTTTCAGAGATTATTTCAACTAAATTTTGAGATGGTGACTCAACAAGCACGCAGTAAAACTCAATGTGGGTTTGTCTAAAAGTCACTTTTAGCGTGTTCAAACAATGACATTTCAAGGTCAAATAGTCCAATTAGGGTCATCAACTGTCATCGATAGAAACGTTAACAAATACATTAATTGGGCATGGTTCATGGAAGATTGCAAATGGTAGTAATTGAGTTGGATTGTTTTATACCATTATTTAATGATTCTTGAATTTTTGACAAGACATAACGAAAAGTGTGCATTCCATAATTAGTCTTTACATTAGGTCTGCTAAAGTTTAAATTTGAAGGAAACCAAGTATGTTGATACAGCCAACGACCTGGGTATTATTTTGGATTCTCACCTTACATACGACAAACACGTTATAAAAACTGTTTCCAAATGTATGTCTTACCTGGCACAGATAAACAGTGTCAAACATGTCTTTGACGATAAAACTCTATTAACTATTATAAACGCTTTAGTTTTTAGTAAGTTGTATTATTGCTCTAATGTGTGGGCGAACACGTCACAGAAGAACATCCAGAAACTCCAAGCTGTTCAAAATTTTGCTTATCGTATTGTTTGCGGAGCATGCAAATACGATCACATCACGCCACTGCTAAAAGAATTGAAATGGCTCCCAGTGGCAAAACAACTGTATTACCGCTGCGCTATAATGGCGTTTAAATGCATGACAGGTTGTGCTCCTGAATACCTTTCTACTAAATTTGTCAAACGTGTAGAAATTAGTAACTGTACCACCCGTAACTCCCAAAAATTAAATATTCCTCTTTTTAAAACAGCCAGCGGACAAAGGACCTTTTATTATAGGATAGTTACACTATGGAACGAATTAGACTTGTCCCTTAAATTATCTAAAAATGTTTTCATTTTAAAAAGAATTTAAAATCTAAATTAATGCATGAGTTCCTACATGAATAGTTAAATTAATGCATGAGTTCCTACATGAATAGTTTTGAATTTGTATCATATATTATTATGTAATTGTATTAGTTGCAAATATTTTATTTTAACTGTAAATTGTCATTGAAAAGCCCTACTGGAGAAAGATAATAAAGGATGTAAATGTAAATGTAAATAACCACAGGGCTTTTGAGATTTGGGGGGGGGGGCTGAAGGGGAATCAGCTCCCCCCCCCCAATAATTTTGTAAAGTTTGAGAGGGAAATAATGACCTATTGCTTTCGATCGTAGTGAACCATGCCTACTGGAAGGCAAGCTGAATACTATCACAAAATATAGATTGGAATGTTTTCTCTAAAATGGATTATATTTCGAGATACTCGACTCAATTTAACAATGCATTATCTTTATTGTTCACTCCTTTTTAACATATTTACAGTGAATTTAAAGTATATAAACTATAACAAAATAAAAATAATCTTCTTAGTCCATCCTAACATCACCGCTGACCTGCGCCTTCTGCTTGTCTTTTTTGTTCACTCAAGCGTGGTGAAGCAAGAAAATATTTCAGAATTGGAAAATGTTATTAATCCTGATCCATCGATGCGTGAAGACACAATGGAAGGTAGGATGGACCTTGTTCAGGTCGTAGTGGCCAATCGAGGTTTTATTGCAAAACTTTCTTCAGCGATTTTGGCATAAATGGCTCCGCAAATGTTAAAGCAATTCTCTGCCATGTTTTAAGGCCAAACAGATGTTCTAAATCCCGGAGTATCTCAAGATCAAATGGGTACACAAAATCAGCACCACCATATCATATGATAGGTCAGGTACAGCTACTGAGGGCGAATGCCTGTAATACCACTAGATGACGATGATGACCATGTGCCAGCCAGCCAAGCGAGTTCAAAGCTCGGACGATCACAGCTTCTTAAAACAGCTGTAAAACGGTTAAATATATTTGAGAGAAAAACTTTGGTCAAAACTTAACCAAGACCAAACAGGGATGCTGTCTATATCAGTCCATCCACATGTTGTGGACCTAAAGCTTTTTGTATAATTTTTGGCTACCCATAGACCCACCCACCTAAGCAATTTCTGAATACATGGCAGACTTCTGGTTCCTTAGAGTTTAGTTTAATACAATTTATTTGGCATTAATACATAGATCTCAACTATTGTACAAATTGAAAAATTATAACCAGCCCATTAGAGCTAAACCTAGTAACCTACCTTCCTTGCTGAGATTTTGGCCAACTATATTTGCCATGTAAACTCTTTGTATTATACCATAGATGCATGTGCATTGTAAATATTACAAATACAAGCTAAAATAACATAAATCATCAAGAGGGAAGATATTCTTGTATCTTTACCATATCTTGTATTCTTATTAATATTCTTTTTCAATTTTTGTTTGTTTTATTGTTCTTCTAGATTATCACAAAATTAAATAAGTTTTGTCTGACGTTTCGGTTTCCTATATGAAGACCATTTTCAAAGACTTAAAAAACAAATCGAATCAGAAAAATAATAAAAGAAGAATAATCTAGAAAAACAATAAAACAAACAAAAAATGAATGAACCTGGATTCAAACCTTTTAACAAATTCTTTTTCAAGTTTAATGCTTTAATTGGCGAGACTCTCCACTTGACATGTAAAACATATGTCATTATACATGGTAAAATAACAAAGTATTGCATACTTGGGCCAGTCAGTGGGTTAAAATAACTATACCTCCTTCTATTGGCAAGACAAAGCAAGATATATTACTTGGCTAGCCTAGTAACTCAGTTCCATATAAGCAGATTCTTTGTTGTAAATTAAATGGACTAAATACTGTACAGCTAAAATGGGGCTGGTCAAACTATTATCCATTTCAAGATAATTGTCCCCTCGCAATTTGCTTTGTGTGCTTTTGGAGCCATCCAAAGAGCTTCTACATATCCACTGTACTTGACTTTGCCAAAGCTTTTGATTCTGTAGATCATCAAATACTTCTAAGGAAACTGAAGTCATATGGCATTACAGAGGGTGTCTTCTCGGCTGGTTTCATAATTATGTAAGTGGACGTACCCAAAAAGTTGTTGTCGAAGGTGTCCCATCAAGCTGTGTTCCTGTTATCTCTGGCATGCCACAAGGAAGTATCTTGGGTCCGATACTTTTTGCTGTCTTCATAAACGATCTTCCAGAAGTAATATCCAATGGCTCTTCAGAAGCTATGTACGCTGATGATACAAAGTTGTTTGGAAACATCAACCCTACGACTGACAGTCATTGACAACAAAGTTCAACACATCAAAATGTAAGGTTTTGAGCATGACTCAAAAGAAAATTCCTGTGAGTTACAACTATCATCTGGGCTCATCCTTGTTGCTTTGCGTTCGGAAGGAAAAAGATCTTAGCATCATCGTTACAGACAATCTCTTGTGTAACAGCTAAAGGCTAACAAGATGCTTGGTCGCCTAAAGAGAACATGTCCTTTATTGATGGAAACCAAAATCTGGCGTTCATTGTATTGCAATTGTATTAGTTTTATTAGTCATGATCGTTCTCGACTAACCTTAAATCCTAGTGTATTACTTAAAGTGCTGTTACATAGAACAACTACATTTAAAAACTCTTACTTTAATCGAACAGTTCATTTATGGAATGCAGGGTGTAGAACTGCGTCACCTAATAGCTTCGTGACATTTACTTTTAAGAACTTTCTTCATCTGACTTATTCGTTTTTACGTAATTCAGTTTTTGATGCAGACATACCATGTACCTGGTCTCTTGTTTGGGACTGCCCATGTCACAGAAATTAAAATAATGTATAGTTCTTTGATTGAAGCAAAGTTCATTTTGTGTACATGCCCAAGTCACATGTATTCAAAACCAAGTTAGTTTTATTTTCTGTACAAATTTTCAAAAATCTGCGTTTTATGTATTTGGGAGATCAGTTCTGGGTATTCACAAATCGAGCTTTACCTCAACTATAATTTATAGTGTAATGTAAATTTAATTGTAAAGTTTATAAGGGAGGTGCCTTGCATGGGCTTTCTCTGACTCGTTTTGCACTTTTCCTTTTGGGTGATACCTATTTATCATTATTGTTAATTTCCCAATAAAGTTATAAAGATTCTAATCATCACACCTTTAAATTCTTTAATTAGCAATCAAACATCGATATTTAAAAATCGTGGAATTGAAGCTTCTGTTTTTACCACCACGATTATGTCTTCCGAAAATAATGCATCGGAGGGCAAAAGTGATAATGAAGAGGCACTAGAAATTCAATCCCTGCAGTTGTTTACTGATGAAAAAACCAAGGAAAGTATCGAGAAAGAGAACTTCAAGATAATCTTTGCCCATCCTGAGGCATTCATTTCATGTAGAGAAGGTCTACAAGTTCTGATGTCCAGCAGTCTTCAGCATCATGTTGTTATGAGTGTGATTGATGAGGCACACTTATTTGAAGAATGGAGACAGATCTGGATTCAGTTTCCACTTCCCATCATTTATCTTCCTCTAAAGTTGTGTGGTTATGTGTTCAAACTTTTTATGGAGGAATTGGGAGATAAAAGCTATGTCCCTTCTGATGAAAGGATACTGAAAAACTGTCTATTTGCTCATTACCGAGCCGACGGCGCGAAGCGCCGTGCGAGGGTACTAATTCCCCCCGGCTATTTACACCCAGGGAAACGAAAGCATTAGCGAAGTCTAAAGTTCATCAATAATCGTGGGCATGGGTGACCAACGGTGTTGGATGGGTGATCATCCTCACTGATCTCAAAAATATGGAGGGCTATCATGAATAGCAGACACCGATTGGACCAATTTAAAGTTTGCATTATAACGACAGTGAAATAGCAAATATTTTTTGATTTGATGATTGACAGATTTCTTGCAAATATATTTCATTTTTGCTCGCATTTTTGAAAGATTTTGTAAATTTCAAAAGCTTTCTCAGAAAGAAAGGGTGAAGGAATTGGCTAAAAGAAGGGAGCCAACGTTAACAAAGGTAAATTTGTTTTAAATATTGATTTTATAATTGCTTTAAAACCCGACGGCCTTTGCGTATATGAAACAACTAAACAAGACAGCATATAATTTCAGTGTATTTTTAATATTGACTCCCTTTTTTATTATATTAAATTTTTTAAATAAAAAAGAAAGCAAAGTTATTTGCATGCGAGAATTTGAAATCATTTTATTGCGAACTCAAAGTTTATCAATAAAGCCATTTAATTAAAGGCAGTTTAGTTTTATAAAGAACACTTTAAAATGAGGAAGTAAGAAAAAAACAGGAAATGTAATGAACAGACATGGCACATGGTGCCCATTCACCCCAGGGGAAACAGTGTTCCTGCGCAGACCAAAAGGATGGAAATTGGGGGCGTGGAAGTGGATTGGGCCATTTCAAATTGTTTGTAGGTGCCTCGCTATGCTAGACCTATAGGATTTTCTTAAAATTTCATATATAGTATAAAATTATATCCATTTCAAATGGTTTACTTACGCATAAGTGGTGCAAGCCTTAAAATGAATGAAAACCCCACTCAAATTGGACTGTATTATGCACATCTGATATACTAACCTAATTATATGCGTTGTGAGGAACTTCCTGCACTTAATTTGCAGATTTTGCGCCCGCTACTCTATACAATTTTCTTAAAATTTATATATAGTATAAAATTGTATGCTCTTTCAAATGGTTACTTACAGGTAAGTGTTGCAAGCCTGAAAATGAACGAAAATCCCACTCAAACAGGACTGTCCTTTTAATTGTAAAAATCTTGCCTGGTATTCTATAGGATTTTCTTAAAACTACATATGTAGTATAAAATTATATCCTCTTTCAGATGGTTACTTACATCTCAGGCCGTTTTTGCAGTTTTTTAACACCCCTTTTGTTCAAGTACTTCTTTGGAGGAATGTTGAATTTTAAGTTCTACATTAATGGCTGGGACTTTGTTGTTGAGTTCATACTTTCCTGATAATAATGAGGATACAGTTCGGATGTTTTTGTTTAACTAAATCGACAATTTCTAGGATTTTGATTATAGTATTCTTTCCAGGTTGTTCAATATCACAGTGGATAATAACATTTTTGGGGTTAGGCCAAAAAAAATATATGTGGGTTTCCGGTTTCCCGACCCTACCTAGCTTTTGGACGTCGAAATCCCGACCCTAAGCTTTTTTATTGGATCATGCTTGTAAGTGTTTCCACGTAGCGGAAAAAGTTTGTGTAAAATTGAAATTTGAGGCAATATTAAACAGCTGGGAAATTTGTTGCGCATGCGCCAGATTTCCATTGAAACTTGAAGATTTCCCCGAAGAAATATTACGAGATGTTCGTGGTTGTTGTATATTTTTGAATGCCTGTTTAATCTTTATACTTTTTTCCTTGAGACAAAGACAAAGTAAAATGTACTCTATGTTTCCAGTGTGTAGAATATCTCGTTTGAACAGCAATAGAATATTATAATCTTGACACAAACAAGAAGACATTTGACATGCTATTTGAAATCTGTAGTCATGCCTGACTGAGGTATATTAAAAAGGCCTGACAGCCTTGTCAAACGCAAAACAAGTACAACTTTGGATTCAAACAGAAAGAAGTTCAATGTTAATACAATTAACATATATTCTATACAAATACGGGTGGTTTAAAATGTTTTCAATTGAATTTCCAAAGCTTTTATCTATCGCTATGATAATCAAACTGTGAACTTGATGCCGCAGTTTTGTTGACGCTTGCGAATGCAAAATAACTTCCTGTAAACAGAGCATTTCTACACAAAACTCTCGCTTAGTCTTCTGATGCACTTGTACGTTCGGTTCTACTAGTTAAACAAGGAAAATATTCAAGAAACACTGGTAAATTATCGTTGTCAAAAAACATTTCAGTGCTGAGGCAGTACCACTGATCTAGCAGTACAAGGTCTCAAGGGCAAGGTCAAGTTGTCGATTTCATTACATTTTACAGTACTTCGGAATGTTTTCAAACTCTTGCTTCATACAAGAGCAGTAAACACACGCATTTCAAAGCGAAATTAGACGCAAAGGGGCAATTTTTCAACAAAATTCATTGTTAAATTATGTTTCCTATGTGCCTTGGGAGCAAAAAATTAAGATTTTAAATTTGGAGGAATCGGTAATTTTTTTTGCAATTTGGCCTGGCATTACACCCTACCTATGTAATGACAGTGCTGGGCAATTTCACGTTGCGGACATTGCATTCACAGAAAAACAATTAATACAAAACATGCTCTGTTTCCTGGGAACTTTGTCATAGAAAACCTTAAGGGGACCTCTTAAGATTTCATAAAATAAAACAAAATTCCCTCGTAATCAATTCTTGTAATAAAAAGTCAAAGTACTGTTGCGGACATTACAGCAAAATCAACCACACATTGAAGTGATGTTTTTAAAATGTAATTTCCTGTGAACTTTGAAAGGTATCAAAGGAACTAAAACACTTCCTGCTGTCAGTGATAATTGGGGTTAAAAAATATGAAAACGAGATGTTCTACAATGCCCTTGCGCAGCTTTTATAGTGCAAAGTTTGTGTTGCGGACATTACACTGAAACTGTTGCGGACATTACATTTTTGGGATTGTATAGCAATCTGTATTAAAAATGATAGGAAAACAAAACTGGGCGACTGATTATGCACTTCAATGTTTCTAGTCCACATAACAGGCATTCTAGCTTAATTCTATTTACATTTGTATACCCATGGGCGTACCGGCCGGGGGGGGGGGTGGAGCAAACAAAGCCAGTCGGGCAATATTCGCTTCACACTTGGGCAATATTGGCTTATTATAAAAATAAATGAGACAAATTCTGTCAATTTTGTGGGGAATTCTGTCAATTGTGTGGGAAATATGCTATCTATCTAATAGGAATTCTACGTCGACAACAATTTTGGAAAGTTTCTCCGGAAATTTTTTTAACAACGCGGGCACAATCCGAAAAAGTCAGGCAAATTTCTTTCCTCCCCCTAATTTTTTCCTTCCTGTATGCCCATGTGTATACCACCATAAATCCTGGGATGAAATCATGGTCACATATATTACAGTATTTTATCTTCTGTTGACAATAATATCTTTCAAAAGTGCAATATTTGTTGCGCATAGACTCAGACAATGACTTGGGTTGTGCAGCAAATAAAGTGTCATGTTTGTAGACCATTCTATGTGACAGTTTTGCATTTACTACATTTGGTGAGGATAATTAACACCCCTGGGTTTAGTGGAAGATGATCAAAACAAACATGAATTAAAACATGATTTTGCTCTTAACAACATATGCCTTACAAAACTGATGGTACAATGGCAGTATACGGTAGTGGCATTATATGTAACTTGGAAACTTTCCATGATGAATTGTGTCACTGTGATTGTGTATACAGCACGGAGTGATTATATTTAAAAGTAAGGGTCCCATAGTCCTTTTAATGTTCTATTTTTAAGTCATCAAGCTTAAAATAACTATAGAACTCAAGCAAGACAATTATATAAGCATCTAATTCTCCAATTTCAAAAATGTAATGTCTGCAACGTAATGTCCGCAACACATTATTCAAGACATGTTAATACTTTTTATTGTCTTTTTGCAGTCTAAATAATGTTAATACCATTTTAAAAAAGCAGCACAAATATAATGTCAAAAGAGCTAGACATTTGGCTGAAAAATAAATTGAATTGTTCTTTTGTTGCGGACATTACATTTCTCCTACCCAAACTTCGATGCACCATAAATCACAGCAACACTGGATATTGTCTGATCTAACATTGTCATCATGATATGTGAACCTTAGACTGTGTTTGTTAAGAAATATAACTTATTTCAAAGTTAAAGTGACTGAGTTATAATTATTTTAAATAAACACACTTTATCCACAGAACAATAGCAACAAACAAGTGCAGATTCGACGGTTTGCCGCAGAGTGGGCATGGGTCAAAATTCGTTTTGGTTTATGATAATCCAATGTGTTAACTATGGAAACATGTGGTTAGCACCACATAATGTTGCATTTTGCAATTTTGCCATTTTCAATGTCTCATGTGAAATTGACCTGCTGTAAAAGTAATCACATATACTATTTTGAATTTCCCTTCATTGAAAGGATCTACTATTGTGGACTAAACTATATTTTAATCAGCATACAAGACTGCAAACAACAGCCAAGAATTAGCTGGGTAGTTTGCAAACTTTAAAAATAATTGGACCTCAAACTTTGATCCCAAAAAGTAAACAAATGGCCAATACTGCGAACCTAATCCAAGTTTTGACCACTAGGGGCAATTTTTAGATGTAAAGAAACTTGTTTAAATTACATATCAAACAAAGGCAAAACAAAATTTGGTATTAATTTTTTGGAGGAAACGTCAAGGTTTTTTGCTATCCGCGCACGCTTCTACACCCCCTCCCCCAGGACCTTCTCTATCAGAAAACAGTTTTCTGCAGAAACTATGCTTTTTTATCGGGAAAATTTTTACTTTTCTCAAAGAAATACTTTAGAAACATGGAAACCTTAAATATTTAAATAATTTTCATACCTTTTCGGGATTGCAAAAAGCAAAATTTGATTCATTATCACACTTTTTAAAATATATGTGACAAAGTTGCTTCGAAATCACTATCACGCAGTAGGATGTTTATTTATCCTCATCCTTTTGACTGAATAAAGTTTATCTTTTTGAAAAGCTATTTGTTTTATAGCTCTTGGTTAGCAGTTTACGTTTATATCGATTTTGGCATCCATGAGGCAACAAGTTATGGTAATCCGCGAATGAAAACTGATATTCGAAAAGCACAAAAGCCAACTCCTAGCTATGTAACTTTATCGCCTGAATTTTGAATCAATCCACAATTAAATTTCTGGTAATGTAGATGCTTTCCATACTTGAGATGTTAGTGAAGTTTTTCCAACAATTTAATTTCCTTGATCGCCGTCTTAACAATGCAAAATCATCAGTTGAAATTTCACTCGTGTTGTTTTTTCAAATTTTCGAATATTTGTAAAATATCGCGTGCGCCAGCAATTTCTCTGCACAGCGACAACAAATTTCCCAGCTTTGTTTGTTTTGCTATATTTTCCACTTTAAAAGGGTGATATTGAAGCATAAACTGGTCTAATTGTTTTAAAAGCATGCCTAAGCCACGACAAAGTAGTCAAGGTAAATGTTTTTCGTCACAAATTTTAACGAAATTTGTGATGTATTTTTCACTGTTTAGTGCTTGAAATATTTGCTAAAATTGACTGGGAATACTTAAAGTTTTCATCGTAGAATGGCGTGGTTACATTTATTTGCTCTTTGACTAAAATGTTTAGCTGTATTATTGCTAAACATGCCGTTTTTGAGAATTTGATTTTCAACTAGGTTGAGGCATCCAACCACGCCATTAATCCCAGTAAAAACATTAGGTCACGTCAGCTAGTTTCCTATCCATTTATTTTATTATCCATGGGAAGACGAAGGTTCATGCATTTATAAAATGAGATCTTTTCCGACAGCTTAAGGTAATTCCGCAGAAATTGGTCCCGAAATGAGAATGTGCTGAAACTTCCAAGGCATGGAGTTTATGATATACTTAAAGTAAAATCACACAACATGAACAAGGTTGCATGGGGTCACCGAACTCGTTAAGAAGATATGACAATCACAATATACCACCTTTACTCCAATATGGCGTAAACCTATCCTGTAATTATTTTTGAAAAAATATTGTGTTTTGAGCAAAATGAAACCACTAACGTGTACAATTCTGATTCACAAATGTCTTTTCCACATTTCTTTACATATCTTTCTTTGAGAACATGCATTGATAAAGTTTTTTTTTTCAAGATCCAGAAATGATTTTTCTTTTAATTTCGGATATGAAATGTAAAATGCATTAAAGAAATAAATTATCAGTTAAAAAACGGGGGTCACCGATCTTTTTAGGAAATTGTGGCATTAAAACGTGAAATACAAGTAAATATATATACTACAGACACAGCCCACAGGGAACCCTAGCTACACTTTTGCATGCCTTTTTTGAAAACATTTATTTTAACGTAATTCTTTGCATGAATTTAACCAAAGATAACATAAAATTGTCATAAAATGAACGTATAATGGATGAAATTATAAGTTATAAGATGTGCGCCGTAAAAGTGCGCAATGCAAAACTGCGGAATTACCTTAATCCACGTATTTTTAAACCTACGCAAAGGTCAGCGCTAATTCCTGCGTAATACGAATGATAAAGAACAGTCAAACATTGAGGTTGATTTACGTAAACGTGTTTAGCCTTCGGGACAACAACTATAAGGGGTCGATGTAAGGCCACTCCAAATTAGACTTTAGTTTCCCGTCCTCCGCCCGCGTCTCCTAGAACTGGCCGCATGATTTGTCCATTATTGCGAAGTTGTTTCCATTATTTGACTTTTGTGACAAACAATTACGAAAACCACAGTTTTCAAATAATCTATCGTTCAAGAAATACATATTTATGATACAACACGTAAAAATCGAAATAAAATTCTTGAAACTTTTATCAAAGAGCGTGAATTTTTTTCCGTTTTCACTACGAACTGCTGAGCTACACACTTCTTCCGTTACAAGTTTTGATTTTTGAACGTCAAAACCGATGAGGTTAATATCCTGGCTTTCATTTCTGCATACAAAAACTCTAAAACATTGCGTAGAAACGTGACTGAATGGATATTTAAAACGAGTATCTATTTCATGAAATAATGGGCCGTGTTTCATCTTTCAGACACCATAATGGATAATGGAAATGGACCGCCCGCCCGCGTGTAATTTGAAATAAGGGCCGGACGGGAAACTAATGTCTAATTTGGAGTGGCCTAATAGAAAATGACGTAATTACAAAGAACGATGGCATAAGTGTTATTGCGCCTGAAAAGGTATAACGGATCCACGAGGAAAGAGATCGAGGAAAAATACAATAGAAATAAAAAAATACAATAAAATATTTAAAAACCCTTTTAAATTACTATTACAGCATAATATTAGACACGTTATATTGACATTAGCAAGGCTTTTGATCGTATCGGTGTATAAATGAATTGATGTAATGTTAAGCCGGTTACAGTAATACAGACGAGCAAGTTTTCTATGACAAGTTTTTATGTGACAAGTGGTATATTGCTACTAGGCAAGGTGGTATCTTTTTCCCCTGCCTGTTTTAGTTGATATCAGTATAGTATAGTATTGTGACGAAATAAAACATTCATAATTAACAACGCAACAACTAAAAAGATTATAACACATCAGCAGGGTTTGACGATCCTGGTCGGTATTGCACTTGGTACAGGTACTGCTGCATTCGGAGCAGCCATCTCTCAATGCGTGGTGGTGGTTTGGATTTAGGGCTATAAATCAGTTCCGAAACTAGAGTATGTGGCGATTACCGACAACCCAACCGAGCCACAACCCGAGAACAGCACCCCACCCCCACCGCGGAAGAGCCCACGGAGGACACGACCGGCGCCCGCGCCCCCCCCCCAAAAAAAAACAAGACCCCCGCGCCGGCCACCAACAAACCGAACCGGAAGAAGAACCGAGACCCGCCACCACCACCTGCACACACGAAGGCCCACACCGACATAAGCGACCACCCCCAGGCACCCCCCGCCCCGCGCCCGAAGCTCCCAGAACGCCCCGCAACAGCCACCCCAAGGCCCTTACGGCGCCCGCAACACAGCGGATGACTCCACAGCCCGGGGAAAATCCCAGGAAGAACATGATCGCAATCTTGAAGCTTTGTTCCAACGCCTAGATGCCAAGGGCCTAACATTGAATGGTGATAAATGTGAATACAACCAACTAAGTTTATGGTTTTATGGCCGTTACAGTTTGTCCAAAGATGGTCTATCTACTGATCCCAAGAAAGTTGAGGCCATAGTCAAAACGACAACTCCACAGAATGTTGCTCAGCTCCGAAGTTTCCTTGGTTTAGCTAACTACTGCGCTCGTTTTATCAAGGATTTTGCCACTCTTTCAGCTCCTCTGAACGAACTGACCAAGAAGTCAACAAAATGGCAATGGACTGTCATCCACCAACAAGCTTTTGAGAAAATTAAGACTGCAATTGCAGAGGATTGCAGCATGGCTTTCTATGATCCTGCCAAAGAAACAACCCTGACTGTTGATGCAAGTCCTGTCTGTCTTGGGGCCATACTGTCTCAGATACAAGAGGATGGCACCATACGCAACATTTCATATGCAAGTCGCACCCTTACCCCCACTGAACGCCGCTACTCGCAGACAGAAAAAGAAGCCCTTGCAGTGGTATGGGGCTGTAAACGCTTCCATTTGTATCTTGTAGGTAAAGAATTTACCCTCTACACTGACCATAAGCCACTTGAACTGATTTATAGCCCTAAATCCAAACCACCACCACGCATTGAGAGATGGCTTCTCCAAATGCGGCAGTACCTGTACCAAGTGCAATACCGACCAGGATCGTCAAACCCTGCTGATGTGTTATCCCGTCAACCAACAGAAACCTATACAAACTTGAAGTTTTAGTTGTTGAATTGTTAATTATGAATGTTTTATTCTAAAAGGAAAGGAGGGATATAGTATTGTGACGTCAGGTCACATGATCGAGTCACGGGACAGGGAACACATGGCATGTTGTATTGAGCGAGGACGGATCTAGGACAGTGCTTTGTACATTCACATTAAATCATTAATCATTTAAATATATTGTTTTATTTCAAAACGACTATATTATAATCAGTACATTGTGATCAGTTAAAAATCAGTTGGAAAACAGCGAGTGGGAAATTTATCTGTTGCATTATGGTTCACCAACGTTTTTGTTGATGACATGACCTTATTGTGCCGTTTCAAAACAGCCTTAGTGTTAGATCCGAGCTTAGATTATCTTTTGGATATTTTAAATTCATTCAGTCGATCTTGGAGAAGTCGGAAAAATCCCCACATGCATGGGCAAGAAAATGAGTTATTGGTATTTTGCCCATAAAGATTTTGGTAACAATTGATATCGTGTTGAAGAAGGCTGGGCTATGAAGTCTAATTGATATGATGGCAGCTTTGGGATGTCGGCATTGTGGCCTGAACCTGTAGGGGTTTTAACTCTAACTCAGAGAGAATATATTGGTGGACGTGAGCGACAGATAATTTATGAATGATGATCATGATCAATTTGTTGCAAAACTCACACCACCTCACACCATCAGGCCTCACACCATCTCACTTAATTAACCAGCACACGTGGTGTCGTAGTCACCATGCTTGCCTTTCAAGCTGGGAGAGCCGGGTTCTATTCTAGATCTTGTTGGACCTCTACGCAAGGTCATAAAATAACTGAAGAGAAAGAGCTACCTTTACATTGACATCAGTAAATGGTTAGACGTTCGTGTCTTCTCGGATAAGGACGTTAAATCATACCTCGCATCTCCTACAATTGGGCAATAGCCTGTTGTGATGTCCTAAACTAAAAAAAACTAAACTCCACCTCATGTCCTCATACCAACTCAAACCACCCTCACACCAATTTACATCACCTCACTCCACGCCAATCTTCCCATTTCACACAACCTCAATTTCGCTCCAGCTGACTCCATAAGTTTCACACCTCATTCCACGACCTTAAAAAACTCACGATTATTAAATAACTTTCTTAGGGATACATTTATTTATTGATTACTACAGCAGTACATTGAGCAGTACAAGAATATTAACTTGTGAATTTACAGATATCTAAACATAGAATCTACATATCTTTACATATCTGACGAGGGGTAGCAAATCTTCGAGTTAAGCCTCTCGAGTTAAGCCCTTCGTGTTAAGCCCCGACCACGCCCTTTCGAGTTAAGCCCGGACCACGCCCATGTCACGCCCATGCCACACCCATTTCCGTCGAGGGCTTAACTCGAAGTACATAACTGGAGTTAGAAAATAGGGGCTTAACTCGAACAAAGTCAAACATTTTGTTCTTCGAGTTAAGCCCCAACGTTTGAAAGATGTAAACAAGTTATAAGTGTTGTTTTATGCTAATTTTTTGCATTTTCAAAAACAGTAGTTCAACGTTCAAACATCAATAGCGCAGTCAATATTGGATTATTGCATGTAAATTTAAGTGCTATATATCAAAATCGAAGTTAGTCATTTCTGAATGCATTATCGCTTTTATAGCTTTTACGTTTACATGAAATCAAGTAGCGTCCAGATTATTGGGGGGACACCCGGTATTTAAGGTAGATTTGCATTTCGCAACTTGTACATGTATGCAGTGATGTCATGTAACGAAGTAAATGTACTTCGTTACTGTACTTGAGTACTATTTTTGAGAAGTCAGCATGTAACAAAGTAAACTTTTTCTGCAGTACTTTTACTTGGAACGAAGTCATTTTAAGAAGTAACGTTTTACTTCGTTATTTTCATTTTGTGGAGAAGTATTTCGTTACTTTCTAACTTTTGTTTAATTTTACGTGATTTATTTCAGATTTATTTTAATTTCGGGATGGGTAATACGACCTCTACATGCGTCTGGGATCCTTCGTTTGTGACGTACTTATAAGCATTATTTATTTAATTTCTTATATCTTCAACGGGGTCTGGAAAGTAGACCATGCCGTGAAATATCGTATATTCGGTGCACGCATATAAAGTATATACTGCGTGTGCTGTTTTGTATCTTTTGTATGTCAATCCATTGGAGAAGTCCCCCTCCCCCTCTACAGGCTACAGACAATAGTACTTTTAGTTTTACTTTGTACTTCAAGTATTTTTTAAGGATACTTTGTACTTTTTACTTAAGTACGTTTTGCTTCCAGTACTTTTTACTCTTACTCAAGTCGTTTTATTGTTAATTACTTCTACTTTTACTCGAGTACAAATTCAAAGTAATTTAGGCACCACTGCTTGTGGGGCGATCGACATTTTACGACCGCTTTCCGTTTTGAAATGTGTGCAGTCTAATGAAATCGTTCCATATAATAATGAAGACTTGAATAGTTGTATAAGAACCAGTATAATGTGAAAGTGCATATTTCCACCGAAAGTGCATATTTCCACCGTTGAGAATTGGGTCTAAAACTATTGAAAATTAACTCAGTCCCTTTACTCTTTAGGACTTAAGTTGATGAAATTGTGACGTTTATATTATTTTTGAAGCAGTTAATAGTTTCAAAACTCTTGAGATCACAGGGCAAATTGTTCCAAGCCACACAATTAGTATTTGGTTTAGGCGGGAGATAGTTGAAATGCATTTGTCTCGTTTGGCTTCAATTATTCAATTTTAGGATTCAATGGTTCAATCTTAGGATTCAATGATTCATCGTAGGATTCAATAATTCAATCTTAGGATTCAATGATTTAATTTTAGGATTCAATGATTCAATCTAGAATTCAATGATTCCATCTTAGAATTGAATTATCCAATCTTAGGATTTAATGATTCAATCTTAGGATTTAATGATTCAATGTTAGGATTCAATGATTCAATCTTATAGGATTCAATGATTCAATCTAGAATTCATTGATCCCATCTTAGAATTCAATTTTTCAATCTTAGGATTTAGTTATTCAATCTTAGGTTTCAATGATTCAATCTTAGGATTCAATTATTCAATTTTAGGATTTAATGATTCAATCTTAGGATTCAATGATTCAATTTTAGGACTCAATGATTCAATCTTAAGATTCAATGACTCAATTCTAGGATTCAATGATTGAATCTAGGATTCAATAATTCAATCCTAGGATTCAATTATTCAATCTAGGATTCAATTATTCAATCTTAGGATTCAATTATTCTATTTAGGATTCAATGATTCAATCTTAGGATCCAAGAGATGGTTTACTTAGGTTTACTCACCTCTTTTCACCTTACATGTTCTGGATCCCTTAAGGCCCTGTTACACGGTGCAATTTTTCATGCAACGTGTCTCGCAATGTTTATAAAAAGATTTTGATAATGCATTGCAAGAGGTGTTACACGCTGCAATGATTTTCATGCAACTCGCAACGATACGGGACAGAGGCATGCGAAGAGACTAGGGAGAGGCGCTATTTGGCGCCAAATTTTAATTAAAATAAAGTGTGTACTGGGGAGAGCCAACAGGAACTCTCCAAGCTATAAACATTGCGAGACAAGTTGCACGAAGCCATGTTACACGCTGCAACGCTTAAAATAATTAGTGCAATCGTTGCCAAAAGTAGAACCGACTTCTACTCTCTGCAATGCTTCATGCAACTTGTCTCGCAACGATTTTGACCATTGCAAGGCATGTTAAACGGTGCAATGACTCGTGCAACTTGTCTCGCAACGTCATTGCGAGACAAGTTGCATGAAAAATTGCACCGTGTAACAGGGCCTTTATGGCCTTGTCCATGTCACTTGTTCGATTACAAAACAATCAATTAGGACAGCTGCATATTTCAACTGTTTTCTTTATTTTATTCAACAGAATAATCTACAATCTCATACATCTCTTGGTGATAACATCATAAGGCCGGTTTATACGACAAGTGTTTTGGGCACGGCACCCCTGAAAATGGGCACCGTGCCAAAACTCCCACTTCGCTATTTACTCGTTTACACGACAACTTTTTGTAGACACACTTTTATGATAAGCACCGTGCCCATCGGAAAACGGCACCTCTACTTTCCGTTTACGACGCCGGTATATTTTAGAGAATAAAGATGTCGGACAGAAATAGAATTATATATTTATATTTCTTGGAACGAAGAAGAGTATTATATGAGCCGAAAATCGAGGGAAAAAACCAATCCAATACTACAAAAGTACTTTAAGGGCCAGTTCATATGGGCAAAAGTTATCCTGGTTAGCGACAAAACTTTTCGACAAGTTTACAAGCGAGATCTCGCCTTGGTATGAAAATAATATGAAAAGTTACACTGCGTTCATATAAGACAAAAAGTTTTCCCGTGTACCGAGATCTCGTTTGTTGACAAGCCAGATCTCGGTGACCGGGATAATGTTTTTCCCATATGAACATAACTTTCCCGCTTAGCAGGATAACTTTCTGTCGTGTCAGCAACTTTTCAATTGATATTCAGTGCTATGTCACAGCCGGAAACTTTATCCGGTAAGCGGGATAACGTTTCTCCATGTGAACAGAACAAAAGTATTTGGTTAGCCTACAACTTTTTAATCGGGATAACTTTTGCCCATATGAACAGGCCCTTAAAGACGAAAGGAGTTGTTTTCTCGCGTAAATGTTGCGCCATCTTGTATTCACACGCCACGAATTCGAGAGGTATGGACTCGCATCGAAGGACAGCCATATGCTACGACCTAGTTACTGCTCTATTCAGCGACGAACAGTGGTATCAAAATTTCCGAGTCAACTAGAGCAACATTCACATTCTGTGTTACTTAAATTTGTTTTTTAACTTTGTTTTTTTTTTTGGCAAGTTACAGTTTTTCGCCGCTTGCTGCCATGTTGGAAAGAGGACAATTTGTTTTGCGCATGCTCGATGTCGAACGCATTTTTTATTTTTTTTCGAAATTTAGGCACGGCACCGCTTGGTAGACGTGCCGAGACTACCTCGTGAGAAAGTCAAAAGGCAGAGGTGCCGTGCTCAAAACACTGGTCGTGTAAACCGGCTTATAGTTTCAAAAAAAGGCGCAATGTTCAATTTTAAAAATGATTGTCATATGGATTATAAACTTGACTAATTAGTATGGATTTTATATATTATTTCTTACAACATATATGTAAATGAAAGTTAATGTAAACTTTCTTACTCATTCTATAACCATGCACGTGTAATTCATTCTTATTGACTACATATTGTATTTATAAAGCAATATTAATTAAATTATTATACATTCTAGTTGGTAAACTATGAGCAATTTGATTGGCTAAGAGCTTACAGTTAAATCGCGCAATCACGCAACCTACAAAAAATTTAGTTATCTGCTAGCAGATAACTCAGTTATCTGCAAATGAGCCTGCGATGATTAGCAAGCGGTATCTATTTACAGTCAAAATACAAGAACCTTCCCACTTCCGCTTCTGTAACTTGTTTTGTATTTCTGTAATTTGTTCTATTTTCTGTAGCGATTTTTGTCGGCAAATATCGCGGTAGAATTTCCCTTTCTGTCCTTTATATACGTCAATTTGTAGCAAAGGGTATATACACCTTTCGTTAGAAAGTTACCTTTCGTCGCGCTCAAAATCAGTCCGATTTTCATCAAATTTTCACCAAATGTTAGCCAGTGCATGCAAAATATGATAAAGTTGTAAAATTGACAAACAATAGCGAGGTTTAGCAAAGACGACGCGACGTCAACGAGGACGTGAAAATGGCGTAAAAATGGCGTGGGCACATCCATAGATGGGCATATCACGCCATTTTTACGCCATTTTCACGTCCTCGTTGACGTCGGTCGTCTTTACTAAACCTCGCTAATTAAATAATGTAAGAATTATTCAGGAAAATATTAAGTCGCGGTACCTTTACGCTTTTGAGTTATGTTCCTGCTGGTTTTAAGATATATTTATGCAAATATAATTTTTATACAGTAAAATAGTTGTTCTAAAAAATCGTGTTCGGAAATTTTTGTTTATTTCGTCATTCCGCTGATATGGCGATTTCTTTGACGACTGCAATATATTTCTGAATTGTTTGTGTGAATTGCTCCTTATTATTAAAATATCCAAAATTAGAACAAAGCTAACGTCGTTAGCTATGTCCTGTGAAAATTTGAGAACAATTCGTTAAAACCTGCAGGAGCACAACTCGTTTAAAAAATCAGTAATTGCCGTAAAATTCTTCGGGAGAAAATTGAATTTGAATATTACATTTTCAATGTTTTTCTGATTGCAAGCGAAATGTATTTTATTAAATAACTCTGCGAGTTTTTCTGTGCTGGTGTTGTGTACTCAGGTGAATAATATGTTTGTGGTGTTACTCTGAGTGCATATCCACACCGGGCGGGCTTGAAAAATATGCCCGGCCACGGAGTTTTCAATATTTTTTGTCCACACTTGCTCAGATAGTAGAACTAGTCTAATGCTTTCATGGCAACCAATAAAAAAAATTTAGGCGAAATTAATACTCAAAGGTGTTCTGTAACCTTAATTGTCTAGATTATATTACGAGGGAATGCACTACCCCCAAAATGGCGGATCATTGGCCCACGTGAGAAAGTCTAATTGATTGTGATCAGATTGGCTATGCCATTGGTTGTACTTTCATTTCACTTGTCTTTAAAGAGTACTTATATCCTTTAAAATCGCGCCAGTTAACTCCATCAGCATAAGAACTGTGAGGACCAGCAAGATATTGGCCATTCAAGTTTGAATGATGACATTGGTTGTACCACCAAGCACCCTTGTAGGTTTGAGCACATTGAATGTTTGTAAAGTAGTCATTATCGACGTCTTTAGTCGTGAATTTCATCCCATTATGGTAGTTCATTGAATCTTCTGCGTCGCCTGTAAATTGGAATAACATAACTCGCATGTTTTCTAAAGTCGGGCGCACCATGCACTGATCTCAAACCAGGACTGGATAGAGTAACCTTTTGAGGCAGGGAATTAATTTTGAAGCCAGAATATTTATGAGGAGAGATTTTCGTAATACTATCACCACCATGGCGTCACATATTTTTTTATTTATGAGCTTTGGTTTGGCCATTCGAAAGATATATACATACGTAGGTTAGGTACGTAATCAAATAAGGCGGAACACGGGACAAACTCCCTGCAAGGTGCCATTTGGGATTTAACGAAGCCGTTAACAGCAACATGTATGTGGATGATTCCTCCCATGGGGATTAGCACCAGATTATACCCCTGTATTTGCCTCGTGAAAAATCTATGGAACGTTCTATCTTGAAAATATTTTTACCTGTGTATTGACCAATACTCAAAATGTAACCTTCGTTTTCATTTCCCACAGTAAATGTTCCGAAATTAGCATATCTTGTTTCGTTTTCAAAACTTTCAAGATCAACTCGTAATACATTATGTCCACTCACTGACAAACGGTGAATTTTGTCCAAACCTAGCCAGAATTCGCCAGCCAATTTTCCAAATCCATTTTTGTAATCATTCCAGTTTCTGTAAAAATCCACAGAACCATCTACACGTCTCTGGAATATGGTCCAGCCCCTACCTGGAGTGGACGTCATGTCACATCTCACTTTGAAATCTCCTTGTCCGTCCGGGTCGATTGTATAAACACCTGTGGTTGTTTTGCCTGATTTACATAACGCATCACAACTTTTTGCTAGAGGAACGAAGAACGTAATAAAGACAAAAATTACCTTCCAACCGGAATGCAAAAAATACTCGCACATTTACTATCTAACGGCAACTGGCTACTGTCCCAACAAACCCACCACCCAGAATTTCGCTCCGGTGGAAATTTCTTAAGAATATCGCGCCCTTTTAGGAATTTCGACCTCCATTACAGTAGCGAGATAATGATAAATTATGCTGAAATAACGTATTATTACTATTGTAGCGAACTTGCTCAAAGTTCACACCAATGTTTCTAAGATTATAATATAGCGTGAAATCCATACTTCCGAAAAAGTGGAAAGATATTGAGCTCCATGGTCATGGAGTCGTGTAGTTTATGCAAAAAAAAGTGACTATTCAAATCGCCTTTGTTCGAAACTACGCATGCACTGCCATATTCAAAACTGTTTCACGTAATCAGCAGTATCGCCCATATTAAACATAGTTTTTATGGCGTAATCACGGGTTGGTGGATTAGAATTTCCTATTAAAGCATTTCCCAGTACCGAGAAAGGCAGGACAGCAATATTCAAAGTGTAGTAGGATGAAGGCCTTATACAGTTTTGTTGCTACAGTGCTATTTCAATAGGGATGAAGCGCCTCAGACCTCGCAGAGTTGCCACTTTAGCATAAATCTAGCTTTTTAAGCATTTCATTTATATGAAGTTCAAACGTCAGGTCAGGGGCGTAGGAAGCATAAAAAGATATATAGAGGTTCAGATTTGACTTTCACTACCACTACCGCAATTAGATGCGTTTGGTATATCCGATTATCCAATCAGATGCGTATTAAGCAGTGGCGGCGTCAGGCCTCCCAATTTGGGGGGCATTTGAGGGGCAAACTCATATTGGGGGGGGGGAGATATAATTTTTAAAAAGGTCGCCCCCCAGGAGATTCGCCCCCTCCTCAAAAGGAGGGCGATATTCCTAGGAATATCGCCCCCGGGGCGAATATCCTGGGAATATCGCCCCCCCCCCCAGGGGGTGGGGGCGAATACCCTAGGAATATCGCCCCCCTTTAGGATATTCGCCCCCCATATATGCGATGTGGTTTATTCAAATAATTTCGTGATACTTTCATCTTATTAGTGCCTTATACACGTTTGAGAATTTAACTCTGCAAAACTAAAGCTTTCAGTTTGTCTTTTTTGAAACGTATTATTGGAGTATTGGCAAGTTTTACCATTCAGAGATTTACAAACTAATATTGAAACTGTAAAAAACAGTTTCATGTATGCACGCATTCACTAATGAGTAATGACAACTTATAAGCCATACATTTTCCGATAACGACAAAACGCTTGTGTAGCCTTTAGTCGCTCTTAGTGACGCCGCCACTGGTAGTAAGCCAGTGAGACTGAAAGGTAGCGATAGTGGAAGTCAAATCTGAACCTCTCTATTGTCGTCGCGCATAAAGACGAAGGGGAGAGCAAGTTTACACTGAGTTCACATCGTTCACAAAAATACTGAACAACAGGGACCCCAGTCAACCTTTTGTTTACGACCATACAAGTAGGAACGAACAATAGGACTTCAGTTTGGCTAGCAACAAATTATGGCGGATAAAAATTAGAATCGAATGCATTATAGAAAGATCAATTGCCACAACAGCTATGTCCTTTTTAACATCGAGATCAGATCTCCAATCTTCAGCCAGTTTTCAGAGAAAACAGGAGAAAACGCCTGGTGTAACTGATCGAACTTTCTCAACTAACTTTGGGATCACAGACAATAGATTAATGGACCTATCGTTAGTTTTATGTGTCGGCTCTTCCTTGTTATAATTAGGAATGGCATCACTACATTTCCATTCCGAGTGGGTCATATAGAATCGGGAATGCAGTGACTGAGTAGCGCAGTAAAAGGAGCAGCAATTGAAGGTGAAATTCCATCAGGACCACTAGCCTTTTTCTCATCCAGAGACAACAGCAGCTTTTTCGAATATTCACAGTTGATCACAGTAAAAGAAAAATTAAGATTCACTTTAAGATTCTTTATTGCCGTGTGCATGGATGGTTAGAAAACTTCTCTTCAGTAAGCTCTAAAACTTCTTGCTCAAAAACTTCAAAACCATGCATATGGTCTAAAGTTGTTATGTCAGTGATAACGCGTGACTGACATTACTATAGCCATATATAAGCTAATATCAGTTAAGTTTTAGATAACAGTTCATATATTATAAATGATGATAGAACCGCTATATAATTCGCCGTTTTAATTTACCATGTTTCACTGGACCACTCTTCTCATTTGTCTGTTTTGCCTGCAATAATAGCAAGAACATGCATGATAATTTTGTTGCTGGATCAATCTGAAAACCAGGTTTGAAAACTTGAAGTATAATCTGGCTAACGCCAGCCTATTTTACGTCTAGGTTTCGTCCAGTTTATCAGTAAACAATTTAATTAACTTTTTCGTGAAGAAATTATCTAGGCCGGCTAGAAACGTCGAGGTCATCAAACAGTTTTGGGACTCATATTTGGTGACGTTTGAGATAATATAATTTATAGCCATATAGATAGATAGATAGATAGATAAATAGATAGAGATAGATAGATTTTTATTTTGACACGCTAACTACGTCAATTAAAAACATTGATTTCCACGAAGGGCGTGTGTTCAAAAGTTATTATATATAAGTGTTGTTATGACTCTTATGGAATCAAATAAAAGAAAATAGAAATAATCTAACTGTTCCAATTGACAAAATTGACAATATAAACAGCTAACAAAACATATAGATAACTATTTACAATAAAGGATATATATATGTATGTATAAATATATTATTTAGAAACATGAGCAGCAATTTTTCTTTCAAATAGAGACTGGGACCTAATTCCTCTGATTTCTTTAGGCACTGAGTTCCATATTTTTGCCCCATTAAACATAAAACTCTTTTTCATGCTATTTGTGTGGGGCTGTGGCAAAACGAGTGTTGTTTCATTGTCACGGAGACACTAATGCGTATTCTCATTCTTGTAGGTAAAAAGGTCTGTTAGGCTTTTAGGCCCAGACATATTCAAAATTTTGAACATTAATTTTGCCTTAGCTTTAGTTCTTTGTACTTTTAGTGTCTCCAATCCTAACGAATTTAATGCGATTTGGGCATTAACTTCGTTACCCATGTCCATAATAATTCGAGCGCATCTATTTTGAAGCTTTTGTAATCGTTGTGATTGAGTTTCACCAAAAATGTCCCACACTTCAGAACAATAAGTAAAGTATGGTTGTACAATTGCGTTAAATATAGAAACAAGTGTATCACGGTCAACAAATTCTTTTAGTTTTCTAATAACAGAAATGGCCGATGTGATTTTCTTACAGATACTCTCAGTGTTACTTTTCCAAGAGAGATGCTGATCAACTATTACTCCTAGTGTCTTGCATTCCTTCACTTGTTTAATTGGTCTGTTTTCAATCATTATGTTTAAATTTGAATCTGAAACAGTATGCACTAGAGATCTTGATCCTATGAGCATAAATTCAGTTTTGGCAATGTTTAGACTCAGTTTGTTCGCGTTTAACCACATTCTGAGGTTTTCCAAATCAGAGTTCACTGCATTTTCAACATCATCAATTGTACCACCGGAAGCAGTGAGGTTTGTGTCATCTGCAAAAAGTCTTGGCTTTGTCCTATTTAGGCTTTCAGATAAATCATTTATATATATTAGGAAAAATAAAGGACCTAAAATGGAGCCTTGAGGAACACCACACTTAACTTTGTGTTCAGACGAGACAACACCATTTACTCGGCATTTTTGGGTGCGATCAGTAAGATACAATCTCAGCAACAAATGTGCCTTATCCTTAATACCGTAAATTTGCATTTTCTCAAGTAGAATTTCGTGATCTACGGTGTCAAATGCTTTTTTTAGATCTATAAAAACTACTAAGTTAAACATTTTTCGATCCATGTTAACATACCAACTATTTGTTGAATCTAAAAGGGACGTAGCGGTGGAGTGAAACTTTCGAAAGCCAAATTGGTTATCAGAGAGAATTTCGTTTTTAGTTAATGGACGTATTTGGCCAAGTTCTCCATTTTACTCCGCTGTTTATCGGCGATCTCGTCGACATCCTTCCAAAAATGTAAATCATCTCAGACATAATGGTATCAAGAACATTTTAAACAAGTTTCAACTTGGTTTCAAGTAGATCATAGCTGTTTAACCATCGACAAGGTAAATCCACAACTTTGTCCAAATTCGGCGCCATTTTGTCATCTCATGTCGGTTGTCAACAATTCGGCCTTGTTACTCTTCCATTCACGCCATATCCATTGCACAAATAACAAATTTAACCCTTTGTTAAGGGTATTAAAATAAAATACAAATGAAATATGCGAAATGCAGCATTTTATCACCCGGTAAAATCTTGCTCACGAGTCTTTCAAAACATTCCGTACAAATCTCGCGTGGTTTAGCAACAGGGACGTGACAGGGGGGGTAGAGACTTGAAAAATGAAAGCAAAGCCCACACAGTTACACACTTACACAGTATGGTAAAACGTACTAAAACCAACAATCAACATTTAATTTGTATGACTTGTTCATATTAATAAATAATAATATGTCGCTACAAGAAATAAAACAAACGTTTGTATGATTGTATTTAGCTTTTAGTCTATTTCACGCAGCCTTCTTCTATCTTCGTGAAATAATTCACCCCCCCCCTGTCACGTCCCTGTTACTTTGTCACGCGAGATTTGTACGGAATGTTTTGAAAGACTCGTGAGCAAGATCTTACAGGGTGATAAAATGCTGCATCGCATATTTCATTTGTATTTTTATTTTAATACCCTTAACAAAGGGTTAAATTTGTTATTTGTGCAATGGAAATGGCTTGGATGGAAGAGTAACAAGGCCGAATTGTTAACAAGCGACATGGGATGACAAAATGGCGCCGAATTTGGACAAAGTTGTGGATTTCCCTTGTCGATGGTTAAACAGGTAATATGATCTACTTGAAACCAAGTTGAAACTTGTTTAAAATGTTCTTGATACCATTATGTCTGAGATGATTTACATTTTTTGTAGGATGTCGACGAGATCGCCGATAAACAGCGGAGTAAAGTGGAGAACTTGGCCAAATACGTCCATTTGCAGGAGGTAGGCACATTTCAAATTATTATTTCGGTCAGAAAATATTAACTATTTGACACCAAACCAGTGATAATATATTTAAATAAGTACCATTTATGTTTCTATCAAAAAGATTTAGGGAAAAAGGTAATGTAAGTCCACTGCTGTTTATCTGAATTTGCAAGCCACAAATTGACGTTTAACTATGATTATTGCATGGTCATTTTCTTGTGAAATATTAGTGCTAGGCATTTCACACTTACCAATGACCACCCCAAAAAGTACCATCTCTGAACCATATAAGCACCTCAGAATAGCCAAAGCTTTTATGGTTTGGTAGATAGCAGTATGGCGAAAGTGTCGTTTTTGGGTGTGGTCAGTTTCGGACGTTTCGCCCCGGATTGGGGTTCGGGCAGCGTTACCATGTTGACCGCCATGGTCAACTTACCCTAAAACAGTTGAGA